TAGACTAAAATCAGTGGTTATGGAAGAGAATTTAGATAATATTGTAAGATATTTTTTTATGTATCTCGGACGAGTAAAAGTTTACAATATCAAAAAATATACATGAACAAAAGTGATAATGAACAATAGAGAAAACGCCATACAACAATCGAAAAGAACATTACTTTTTAAAGTATGTGTGTAGATAATTTCTGTATATCGTAAAAATATATTTGTTTCTATTGATAAGCAATTTCTTTACGAATTTACTGACAAGAGAAATAACGACTAAGAAAAAGTGCTCACGATTGATAACGAGAAAATTAAAATTTCTAGTTGAGAATACATTTTTCTAAAAAAAAAACTATTGAACGAATGGTTTCAGTATACCGTTGAAAAACTTTCTCTGTTAACTCTCTCATCCTCTTCTAAACAAAAGCAAACGAAATCTATGAATAAATCCCATCGATTTCGTTATTGTTAGTTTCATTGTACATTGAAAAAAAAAGATACTTTTCTTTTTCTAATGTTCATATAAATGTAGCAATCGATTCAATTGAAATTATATCAATATAAATGTTTATTTACTATATATTTACTATGGATGGATTCAATAACATGATTATGATCATTTGAAATAGCAATAGAAAAAGAGTTCGTCTATATTCAATGTTTTCCATTCTTTCAAAGAATTGAAATATTTCATTTGGAGACTTAACTAGATTTGAGCAAAAAAAGCATGATGGAAAAAGAATATCAATAGTAGTTATTTAGATAATATAGTGCGAATATCGTTTATTGCTGGCATTGATGAAACCTAACTAACGAAACTATTTGTCGATTTTGAATTGTCCTGATATTTCCACGATGATACGAATGACGAATGATTGATCATCTATATAATTCTGATGTTATATTTTTAAATTAATGCACGATATAATCAGATGTTAATTTGTTCACTACAATGAAAAATGAAAGAGAATCAATGAAATTTTTATAATAGTTGATGAATATGGCAAGTGAGTGTTGATACAATCTAATTGTTTTTATCGTATGTTCAATGTAACTGAAAAATATGAGAGAACCCATTGATTTCTTTACCGTAGGAATTGATGATAGAATATTGTGCTGTTTTGTGGAACTCATGTGTTTGACGTAAAAAAAATAGTGAGTATAAGTTATATGTCGAAATTGTCTGACTCGCTCCCTTCTCATATCAACTTCGATCGAAGTGTGACAGTGATATTATAGATCAATTATTGTAAGACTCCTGACAGCCATAGTAACGCAGACAAAGTTACTCACAATAGGTTTTAGCCACCGTGTCAAAGATCAATAATTACATTTCCATAGCAACCAAGAATAACATGCATCAGGCTTTTTTTTTAACAGTTCTTTAGCAATAGAAAAATAGACAGTGAATGATATTAACAACAAAATTTAGACAATTCGAGAGTATTCCAAAAGCTTTCTTTGAAATTCAAATAGCTGCAATACGTTTGTGAATGTTCTGCATAGTGCAGTTTCTAATTTTTATGTAAATGGTCGATTATATGATAGATATCAAAGATGACAGCTATAGTCGTCGTATGACCAACATTAAAAATATATAGCTTTCGAGAACAAACAAAACCCATGTGTGTGAGGTTTTTTATGACATCTACGAACATTCTAAGACCTGTTTTAGATAACATAGATGTGTGTCATATAAATTGAGCGCAATTATAAAAAGATTTTTCATAGAAAGAAATTCTCATCTGTTAAAGATTTTTCGCTTAAAATATTTTAATAAGAGTTAATCTATGATAAGATTTGACCATGAATCAGATTCATCTATAATATTACTTAATAGGTCAAACGAATAGACCCAAAGTCCTGTTTTATATGATGACAATAGTCGAGTTGAATATGGCACAATCGTTTGCATATAGTGTCATTCAATTTTCGGCCTCAACACTACGACTACAGTGTTACATTTTGATCATTTTTACTCTTGTCAAAACAATAGCAAAGTGATAGTAATTTCTCTCAAATAGAGTAACAATAAATGATCTTTAATATCTTCCAAATAGGTACGATTATTTTTCTCAATTTTTAGGCATATTTATTTCATTCATTCGTTATTCCTATTCCTTAGATTCAAAAATATAAATATATGCAAACATACTATATTATTCATGTTGATTACAACAACATGAAAGATTATCCTAGACATCTTTTGCTTGCAATATAGTTAGACGACTATTCGCAAGAGCAAAAATATATTAGTTGACAACCATATGTAACAAAGATATTTATGTATAATATAAAAGAATTTTCTTTTGTATTCATTAGGATTTCTGTCATTTTACGAATGTAGAATAATAAAAGTTATAATCAATGAAAATCATCCATTAATCAATTCAATTTAAAATATGAATAAAATTACAAGTGTTGAAGTCAAAATAACACTACGGACTTTTTTTATCAAGAATTTTTGAAATTTTTGTTTGATTATTATCTTTATGATGGTATAAAACATTACCCTTATAAATAAATTAATAAGATTTATGATATCATTAGTTTAATTCATATATATATATATATATGAAAAATATTTTATGTTTCATAAAGGACAAAAATTCTTTAATTCCTTACAATTACTCATATAAAGCATGAGATCTTAAAATAAATTCCTTTGGTTTTCAGTTTTTCAATAAAATAAAATTTGTTATCATATACTAGTCTTACTCACCAATCATCTTCATATTTACATAAAAGATATTTTATTGTCAATATCAGGCTTAATAGAATGTGTAAAGAAAAGGTGAATATGAAAGAAAACGTATCCATATATGTGGTATAGCTTTCAACATCATTTTTTTTCTCAGTTTCTCTGCATTTCATGAATATGTAATTTAAAAGAACGTAGGCGAAAAAGAGTGCTACTTTGTTGATTATAGATAAAGACTAGACAAAGAAATCTTTCAATGAAAAAAGACAAAAAAACGAACAAACAAATACAAACGTTGTATTCTCATTCTACTGAGAAGGTTTCATTTTTTGTATCGACATTATCTATTATTTCTGTATTATGGCGGTGCGTACCAGTTTTTTAATATTGTTATTACTGGTTCTTCTTTCGCATTCAATCATAGCTCAAATTAGTACAAAAGCGCCACAAGGTCAGACTTTGATTTCCTCATATTGGTTTTCCTATTGATTTTTTTTCTAGCCTTTGACATTACAAATCCTACTGAACTCAACAATTCAGCAACAGCACTGGAAGATACAACGATAATAACACCAGCACCGCCACTATCAACAACAATTACACCAGCACCACCACTATCAACAACAATTATACCAACACCAACACCAACACCAACACTACCAAGAGACAATCCTTGCGACAGTGAGTAAACGTCCTTCTTATAAAACTCACTCTTGCTTTGATAGGTGATGAACTGCCATTATTCACTAACAGATGCATTTCTCGAACAGCTTACACAGGCATTTTTTTAGCAAGTATCATTTTGGCTGGCCTCTCTTTTCTTATGCTCATTGTAAGTGATTTAAATAATATTCTCTATATCCATACAGTGTTTTTTTTACATGATTAGGGTTTATCGTTAATGCTTTTCTGTCGACGTTCCAGAGGTTCTCATTCGAATACTGCCCGTGATGATGAATCAAGCATTTCGAGCAGTGATGGTGATGCAACAAGTAGTCTTAAGAAAGCTACACTACTGAAACAAAGAGAGAGTCACTATGTAAATGCTAGAAAAAGTGGTAAGCAATCTACTGCAATATTTTTGTTTTTACAGTCATCTTGAGAAATAATGCTGCTAATTCTTTCATTATGATTTTCTGCATTAAAAAAGTAACAATTTTACACAGATTTCTAACAGCTAAGTCATAACTGTTAAAAAAAGAAACACATAATTAATAAATGAAGTAATGTTAAGCATTATAGAATATTTTCATCTTAACAGTTTCTAACACAACTTCAAAAAAATCCAAGGATTATATGAGACCAAGTATTTTGCTTCCAGTTCCGATGTAATCACCATTCTAATAACTTCTTCCGTAGTAGTGTCATCATCTATGATCTTAAAAATTCTATTTCTGATCCAGAAAAGAAAAAGCATTTCAGAATTTATTCGTATCACATTTAGAAAAAAAATCTTTCAATACTAATTTGTTGATTAATCTAATCAACTACTAGCACTTTTTTTGGAATATCTCTCTTGAATTATGTTCTAATTAATATGATTTATAAAATCATTCGCTTGAAAAAATAGAATATGTGACTATAATCTTTAGTTTCTGTTGAAATAACTTCTTTCTAATTGTTTTGATACCTTTAAATTTTTTTCTCCGAGTGCTAGTTCTGATCCCCGTATTCAAAATTGGAATTGGATCTAAAATGTGATCTCGTACATGTCTTCTAGACAGTAGATAAACTTGCTAATCAAATTTTTCCTAATAACTATTATACTATTGCAGACACACAACTAGTAACACCATCTGCTCCTTATACAACTGTACAACCCGTTACTAAATCATTACAACCTAGAAGACAACCAAAATCTGTTAATCAAAAGTACATTGATTCTGTTGAAATGGTTCTTACACCAATTAATGAATCATCTAGTGATATTTCTCATTCTTCATCATCATCTCAATCTCGCAGAACAGCTCCTCAAGACGATCATAGCGGTAAAGTTCGCAAAAAAAAGAATTACACTTTTGACAACACAACACCAACAGATTTTTAATCAAAGACTATTGTATTATGTTTACTTTTTATTTTTCTTTGGTTATTACAAACATGAAACTTTATATAATAAGATTACCAATCTTTGAATTAACTGTTCAAATTTTGTCGGTTACACTTTCTTTTTTTTTTTTTCTTGTCTTTTTTGTGGACAAATATACAAATACCAAGATTAATAAATTGTATTTTTCATTCTGATCATTTAAAAATAATTGTTCACACAGACAAAAAAAAACAACAACATTTAAGTGCAGAACAAAAATTAAACATCGGTTGCAAGTTTACTTCCACCGTTATTAACTCGAGTAATTGTTGGATAAAATGAATTTTGAAAAGATGATTTTTGTCCTTGAAAATTATTCGATGGTGAAACATATGATCGTTTAATAAATAAACGATTATTCACAGGTAATCGTTGTTGTTCAGCATCCGAAACTGTTTCCAATGTAAAACCTTCCATATCAGCAAAACGAACACGTTTTTTTTCTGTTAAACGATCACTTGATTGACTTCGTGCAGTTGAACGAGTTCGTATATCATCTTGTTGTTCATAATTATCATCGGTTTCAGCAACAAATTGAGCTCGACGATGACGATTTGTATTTATATTTCGTCGTTGTATTAATGTTGATGGTGATGATGAATTATCATCAGAAAATGATCCACTTGTAACATCTCGAATATAATATTCATTATTCTTATTATTTGATGGTGATTGTGTTAAGACATATGTTAAACCATTACCTACAGTACGTCGATTTGAAGAAGTAAGAACAGAATAATTTTGATCAGAATCATGTATATCACTTTTATATGTTGAATTTGGTCCAGTAAAATCTGATGTAGATAATTTTATTGGAGAATTTAATGTTGATGGTTGTATTCGAGTAAAATAACTTGTTAATTTTGATGCATTCGATTGATTATATGTTTGATCAGTAGATATTATAGGAAATGATGATAATCCCGTAGACATGGCAAAATCAGAAGGTTTAGATGAAACTATTCGACGAGGTAATGTTTGTGGTTGTTCTAATTGACTTTGTGGTTCTTGTACTAATTCAGCTGAAAATGAACGTTTTAATTCATAATCATCGGAAATATAATCACGATAAGATAATATTGGCGATTGTGGAGTACTTCGAAGATTTAATATTTTATCCGATGAATTCGAACGTATAGCAGTTGTTGTTGGTAATTTCATAGGTAATTTTGATGTAATTGATGATAAATCATCTCGATCATCGTAATATCTTAATGTTGAACGAGATCGTCTAATTGATTCACGTGTATGATTATTATTATTATTATTTGTTATTGAATTTGTAGATAAATAAGGTGTTCTAAGTATACCATATCTATGATCATGTGATTGTGAAGTACTTCGATAAATTGGATTAAATAAAGATGTTGATGGTGTTAGTAAATTTGTTTGATGAGATTTTGTTACAGGTAAATTTTGAGATTTTTGCATTAGTGTACGACGATATCGTCGTTCTTCTAAACGCATACGTTCAAATTCTTCAATAGAAACATAAAATTTACGTCCATGACGATAAACAGGAACAGTATTTAATGGCATATGTGTATCACGTAACGTCGAAGATGAAACAGCACTATGTGGATATTGATGATGAGAGTGAGGATATTGAGAAGTTTCCAAATATAAACGATCCTATTTGATATTAAGGAAATAAAAAGACTATGATTAAGCTTGAAAGTTTAGTGATTATGATGAATCATTATCTTCTTGACTCATTTTTCCTTTCAAATATCAAAAAAAAAAAAAGAAAAGAAATGCGACATGAGAAACTTACAAGACGTGCTTGAAGTTGTCGATCGTTATTTTCGTCATCTTCATTATCAACACCAGATGATGGTCGTCGTTCGTGATCTATATTAGCTGTAACCATTTAATTTTTATATGGATCTAAACAATTGAAAATAAAATTAAAATTATAAACTCAATAATTTGATGATTAATTTTTCTTTTGAGTTTCTAAAATTTTATCTATATTCAATATTTTCGTTGACTTCTTTTTTTTTTATTTAATGACTCATGTTTAAGATTAATCGTTTTCTCATACATCTAAGCTTATATATATTCGAACTAGCAACAGACATAATAATGTAATGTTGTTGTTGTTGTTGTTGCTACTGTTGTTCTAATAGCATAATTTCATGTTTTCATCAGTCAAAAAGGCAAAACAAACAAAAACAATATTTTTTGATTTTTTTTCAATAATATTTACTGAAAGAAAAAAAGAAAAGAAAGTCTACTTAATCAATTCATAATGTCGAAGATTTATTAGTAGGTGACACTCGAATTCTTTCTTTTTTTTTCCTATGCTTCTTTCCAATGAATAACATGTTTACCTCACTCTATATGCCAAATATATATATATATATATATAGGTGATTGTATGACATGAAAAAAAAAAAACATGAGTCGTAGAAAAAAAAAATGAAGAGAAGAAAAAGAACTGATGAATGACAGCGACTCTTACGGCTGACTAACGTCAGTTAGTTTCGTAATCACTATGCAACAACGGGACCAACCCATCTCTCATGGTCATGTCATTGTCGTTTTTTTTTAAAAAGCACATGCATAAGAGCATGCGCTCTTTTCAAAATTCTTCCTTAGGTTCTTTTTTTTCTCTTTACTTCTTCTTGTCTTTATTCTGTTCTGTTTTTTTTCTCCTCCTTCAACTTTCTATGTTGCAGTTAAAAAAATAGTTTATATATATATGACTGTGGCACACTCATACATTTGTGTTGAAGCCCGTTAAAGAGAATACAAAGGATCAACTATGAAAGTCTCCGATTTTTTCTTTCTCTTATTCTCGTTCTTTTTCTCGTTACCTTATCGTTCTTTACCAAAGATCGTAATAAATAAAATTATGCAGCTGTATGTAGGCTTTGACCTTGAAAGTTGCAGTGTGTTACGAGCAAGGTCAACTGTACTCTCTTTGAAAGTTTGTTTCGCAATCGATCTATAATTGAGCAATGGAAGTATATATATGTAGATATTTGATGTGACAATAGTCTCAACTATTATTCTCCTTCATCTCATAGTTTTTAATATTGACATTTGAAAAAATATAAAAATCAAATTACTTAGTTGAAATAAAGAAAGAAAAAAAAGAACTTTTTGTTCATATTATTCATTGAAACATTTAATAAGAAAATGACAAGTTTTGATATATGACTATTGAAATTATATGATACTGAATCATTCTGAATATTTTCAATTATTTAACAACAAAAAGAAAAAGACAAAGAAATAAATGTCATATGTATCAAGTTTGGATTAATAATGATTTGATAAATTTTGATAAGAAAAGGATTACATTTATTTTTGATCATCGAAATATTCATTTACTTATTATAAAAACATTCTACTTGAGTATCTTTTTTAAACAGATATGTTTTTTATATCACACATTCATATTTCAGTTAATGTCTATAACTAAAATATCTGAAGCATGAGATACGATGTTGTCCTAGTAGATAAATAATGATTAATATATATATATGTATATAGATCCATCATTTCTTCAACAATAAATAAATACTTCTGTTACGATCAACAATATGAAATTACACCTAAGAAATATATTAGTAGTAGGATAATTTGTTAAAGTAATTGGATATAAATGTCTGACGAAACAACAATTTATTGACATTATGATTAGCATCTTCATTCATTTTTGCGTAAATACGCAGTGCGCACCAAAATTATTGAAGAAGTTTTATTTACAACTTTGTTTTTTTTTTTTCGTTGTCGTAAGCACTAGAAAGAATCCAAATAGTAATTCGAGTAGAGAAAATTGTTTCGAACATGAATAATAGGAAATAAAAATTATTATTAAGTTTTCACAGACAAAAACTATAGAAAACCTAAGTCCTGATTTTTCAACATCTATAACGCGTAAGTATAATTGTTTACACTACATAGAACACTGGAGTAGACAATTCTTTACAAAATGAAATGTCTCCGAGTTTTCTACAAGGCTTTTGAAATGAGATAGAACAATTTTACGGAACTTTCTAAAGTCGTTTTTTTTTACTATTTCCGATAAAAGAAAGTCATTTTTCAACCTTTAATCAAATTATTATACGTCAGCTAAAAAAATAACGTTGCAAAGAATGATTTACTTTAGTGTTCTATGTAGTTCAAATGAAATTATAGTTACACGTTCTAGATGCTAAAACAATTAGAGCTTTGATTTTCTAGAGTTCTTATCTATGAAAATCTCAACAGAACTTTTATTTTCTTATATTCTTTTTCCAAACAGTTTCCTAGACTCAACTTACTTTTTAAAACGTTTATAGCGCTTACAACAGCGGAAAAATCATTGAAAATAAACCTTGTTGAATAATTTTGATACTCAATGCATACAGAATCAGTCATAAATAGTAGTATAATATAAAACTGAAATATTTCCGCTTTGGTTCGCTCGAATGGGCTTCTTTCTTTTTTTGCTTAGTAGTACTAACTTATTTAGAGGTTTTCTTTTTCATACGAATAACGTCAACAAATAAAAATGTCAACTTATATTTTTGTCATCAAGAGAATAAGAAGAAGAAATCAAAACAAACTTGATGAATGATATTGTACTCATGCATATAGAGCAAGTTTTCAAAATCACTTGGTTTTAATGATGAAGTCTGTGCCATTTAAGTAAATCATAGAACGTACCGCGCTTTGAACAAAAACAAAAGGACCGATTTCTTTTCAAAAAACTTTTGTGCTACGTTTGCTATGTCGAAATGTTGTAACCAAAGAGTTTTAAATCCACGGATTCTGAAAATTTGCTCTATAAGCATTAATATAGTATCATTGATAAAGTTTGTTTTGATTTCAGCTTTTAATACTCTTAAATGGTAATTGAAAATGATTTATCAAATATTATACATATATTTTTCCTACTCATTAACATGTAAAATTACTTTCATAATACTGACAACAACACTTAATAGTAGTATTTGATTACCTTATCTGTATAAAAAGAAAAATTTTTGAGCCAATTTCTACTATTAATCAAAAAATCAGCCCATTTGATTAAAGCAAAGCAAAGCAAAGGTATTTCATTTATTTTATTGTGGTGTTGTTTATGAACCACTCAATTTATATCTGTATTGATTCAGTAATAAAATGAACATATGTCAATACAATACAAGTTGAAAGTATAATAGAGCACAGCAGGATACTTACGAAAATACTGTGAAGTACTATTGATAAAATGAATAAAATAGAACCTTATTGAGTTTTTTTTTTAAACTTTAAATATAGTCGAATTTTAATTTAATGTGAAAGTTGAATGTCTAACTCAAGGATTTTTGAATATCATCATTGATAAACTAGTCTTTGTGAACAAAGACAAAAGGTTATGAGTTCATTGATAAAAGTAAATGATATAACTCAAAATGTCATTTGTTGAGTGAAATAAATTTAAATAAATAATAATAATAATCATAACCAATGATTTTTAAGTAGCATTTAATCATTTGATATATCCATTCAACATCATAAGTATGCTAATGTATATTGTCCGTCAATAATGTCTTTTCCTAGTATTACTATTGTAATATCGCCGTTCATTCTGACAACCATATTTATTCAAACTATATGCCGATAGGTGTTATATGGGAATCAAAATGACATAATTTAATATTAGAACATGAAATAAATAGGACCGATTGTTTTTACTATAGGTTATACAAGTCATGTTATTCTTTCATGTGTTCAAATAATTATCTATCAAGTAAGATTTTTAATGTCTCAGAAAATAGATTTTGTTCAAAGAATTATCAAGAAATAATTTGCATTTATTTTTAGAACATACATAAACAATAAAAATTATTGACGAAAAAAAAAGAGAATCAATTCGATATTTTGTTTCAATTTATGCATTTTTTTAAAATATTTGAGAGCAATATAGCAAGTGCGAAAAATATGCATGACTAAAGAAAAAAAAAAAACATAAATTGCTCGTCCACAGCTCAAGTGATGTGTACTTCAACTTTTCATAATTTCATTCAATAACCCTTAAAATTTTATTTCATATAACTTCATCTAGAATATCTATTCAAATTTATCTTAAGAAATTGAAATACTAAAGTACAATTATTTCAAATATTTGAAAAAACAAACGTTACATAAAGTACTTTTTGAAATTTTTTTATTTTATATATTTCTATGCAAAAAAAAAAAAAAAGAATTCGACTATTTCAAGTTCGATAAATGTAGAGTTCATCGAGTCAAATTATCTTTTTCAATCTTTATATTAGAAAAAAATTTTCTAAAATCTAATATATTTCACTGTTGATGTGCGAGAACCTACTATTTTATTGTCAAATTCACTGAGCTCTATTACAATTCTATACACTTTTGCATGAACTTTTACAATAGTTCGAACATTTAATGTCAAGTACATTTTTAGAAACAAAATAAACTTCATCAACTTTTCTAATCCAATATAACTATGATGCTTCCAAAATGTGATCGATCTGCTACGATTTAAGTTTTACAAAAGCATTGAGAGGATATCCTTCATATCTTTTCGCAACGTCGTTATAATTCACTAACTAAATGTAAATACAGTTTTTTTTTAAACGCATGAACAACGAATCAAAATAAGTCAGCGATGAAAAAAAACAAACAGAACAGTTGTTAACATAATAGTTCATGATATCTAATGTAAATATTTTTGGTTTTTCTATGTCGTATGTTGTTTCATATTGACTAACAATATTATTAACTATTGAATATTATAAAAAGTATGAAGTACAATATGACAAGATAAACAAAAAAGGAGTAACATTTTTACCGATGATTTTAAAAAAATGTATCTATTTTCTATATTGAAGACATTGACATCCAAATTTGTGTCTATACAAATCAGAAAAT